TTATAGTGTATTTTGGGAACGAGGAAGTAGGACTCCTTCTAGCTGGCTGACTGTGATTTCTCTTTGCCTGAAAAAGGCTTCTGTGCTACTTCCAACCAGCTTGTCTCATAGGATGCTATATTTCTGAAAGAGCTCTTAATTTCTTACTTTGAACATTCTATTCTGTACCCCTGTAGGGTTAATGCATAAAGAGAACTGGAAATCTATTCTTGAATTCAGCATCACAAGAATATGTTATTTCAATTTTCAATGTCAATTCAAAACCATTTTTTATTATTTTGAATTTAGTAGAATTATCAAAAGGCAGTGTAATGCCTCAGGTTTTTCAGTGTCTACCACAATTCTTCATGGATTGGCTGTGACTGTAACTCTCCAGTTTTTCCTCCTATGGTCGACTTTTGCAACTCACCTATTCCATTTGTCTCAGGAACTAGATAAGTCAAATATGTAAATCTGTCACATTAATCTGATTACAATTTGCAAAGAGCATACCATCATCTTACAAAAATGTGGGCATCTCTGAAAGATGCCAAGGGAATTTTAAAGATTAAGTCACTCTTCCTTGCTTTCTCAAGTTCCCTTCGCACAAAAATAAAATGGGCATCCTAACGTCTTTCATTCACTCTGTTATGACAATCTAACCTAGGTAAGTGAACAATCATTTTTAACCAAGAAAGATGATCAGAATTAAAAGACCATTGACTTACATTGTGGAGTCATTTTTTATGAGCATGGACACGTATATATGTATGCATGTATGTGTATATAGCCCCCCACCAATATTTTAAAATGCCACATGTTGGTATAAACAACAAAAGCCCAGATTTTAGGGCACTTTCAAGACTAATACATGGCATAGTCTAACACATTTGTTGATTTTTAAGCTTCTATGTGTCTTCTTTTCTCTGCAACTGATTCAAACCAACTTGGAGAATGTGGATGCACATATATAAAACACTGCATTTTGAAAAATCATTGCATTACTCCACAGATACTTAGACCTGCTCATCCACATCTTATCTGAGCTCCTTGCAGGAGCTCCAGCCCACCTCTGGAATGTGTCTTCTTTTCCTTCCTCTTACCAACTCAAGGTGTGACATGCAAAGCGCCCCAGGGCACTGTGTTGCACAGTATTGCAAACAAGATAATCTGGTGGATGTTACTCTAGCAGCATTTTCAAATGCTTCAGCCTCTTCCATGGGCATTTTGGAGTGATTTTCAGTGTGATTCCTTTTCTTAAAAATTACTTTAAATGTATAATCTCCTAGGTTCTTGGAGAGCTTCCAGAATTGAATGTCCTAAAGGCAAGCATTATGGGCCAGTTTAAACATGAAGGTCCCTCCCTATAGGGAACCTACTGAAAAGTGCTTCCTTCTAGTAGTATGTCATATACAGAAGAGTGCACAGCATTCAAAAGCAATTTTGGAGAAGAACTTTGCTTATAGACAGTGTCCAGGTTAATGCTGTATGTCCCAGGCATGACATCCATTTTTTGGACATGATAATCTTTGGGGGAAGTAATAATAATACTTAATGCTTTCAAATATTCAAAGCATTTCACATGCACTGGAGTCCTTTTGAATAACCCTGCAAGTCAGGCTTATTGTCCCCTATAGCAGTCAAATGAACACAGAAAGACAGGCTAATGGTCCTTCTCAGCATTGCCTATAGGGCTCATGAGGCATAACATACGGCCCACGGGCTGCTTACCCAAAGATACTGACTGAGGATCAGGCAGTTCTATCAGCCTGCTAGAACCTAAGTTGACTTCAGTTTATTGGCTATTTTGTCGAAGCTGTAGGCAATCTCTGTCCACAAATTGTAGGCACCCCCCCCATTGTTTTCAAATCCTGAAACTGCCCTGCCAATCCTCCAATCACACCCTGAGTTCCTATTGCTGAAATTAAAGAATTGCAGCATGATTTTTCACCCAAGTGGCATGTTACAATTCAGGTAAGCCTGACAGACTTGGCAAACCTTTTAACTCTTCAGAAGGAAGGGAGGGAGGAAGGTAGATAGATAATTTGCCTTGCCTCCATCAATGTCAGTACTGCAACATTTGGTTTTTTTCCCCCCCAAAAAAGTGTATCCCTTTGTTGCTGAAAAGTTACAAAACTTCCCTTGTTGACCAGACTTGGGTAAAGACATGAATAGTGCAATATCCAAAGATTGACTGTAGATTCCATGTCTTCCAGGAACAATCTAGCCCTCGGTGGTCCTTGATTTTTATCACTCCTCTTATCCCTATTAGCTTGGTAGTTGTGCTTTCAATAGAATTCAATTGCATGTGATTTATGACCTTGATTTCATTGTAACGCTGCATTGCCAAACAATTGTCCCACTTCAATTCCTTTTTCAGAATTTCTAAGCTACAAACCTATGTACTCATCTAAAAGTATGATTGTTCTAAACAGACTTACTGTAAATCTGTATAGCCAGAAGTTGCATCTTATTAGATTTATATACTGCCTTTTTAGGAGCTCAAGGTGGTATAGTCCCTCCTCCTACTTTCCTCACAACAATTATCCTGTGCAGACAAGTGAATGGCCCCAAATCACCCAATGGACTTCTACTGTATGGCCGAGGGTCGAGACTAGGACTTGAATCTTCCTGCTTATAGTCCAATATCTTCACTGCTACACTACGGTGACTTTAGTGCAGGCACCTCTTCAGTGCAGATACATACAAAGCATAAGTGCACGCATGAATTCAGTATCATCCACAGCTAGAAACATCTGTTGAGGTTTTAATAGTTTATAATACAGGAGTGTACCTTTAACAACCAATACTGCTGTGCGTAGGTTTTAAGTGACTAGAGTAGCTATTGTAAATGCACATAGCAAACCAAGTAGAGCCTTGAATAAAATGAAGGGTGGGCAACTTGATAAAGGCAATCAGATAAACTAAGAGTATGAAGATTGTATTTTCATTTTCAACGGTGAAACCTTGATCTTGTTATGCATCATCCCGCAACCTCTTGCTTTATCCAGCTCCCCCTAGTTGGATGCAGATTCAGGCTCATTTATGAAATAACATTTCTCCCCTTTGTTTTTAGAAAGGTTTGCCCAGTTCGGGAATAGTTTTGTAGGCGAGGACAGGAGAAGGCAGTCATTTCCAGGCATAAACCATTTGTGCTTTGAATGCAATTTGCCTGCAAACTGAAGACCAGCTTAATAAAAATCCAAACATTTTTATTTGAAACAAACAATATCAAGGGTTGGTAATCAAGGCCAGAGAGAGGAGGTAAGTCTTTAGGTATTGTGTGTGTGTGTGTGTGTGTAAGATACAGGCCTGTGCTGGCTTTGCTAAGGAATGTTCATTAGGAAGACAAAAAATAATTAATAGAAATATTTGCGGAGGGTTGCATTACTAGGAATACAAATGAATTCTATCCACTACTGTACTTCTTATATGATCCAAAAGCGCTGGGTTTGTTTTTCGTTTTCTTGAACACCTACGTAAGTGGAACAGGAGAGCACATTTTCTTAGAAACAAAGTGATGCTTTGCTGATATTCGGAACGGAGTACACCTTCTTAAATCCTTGCACTATTTTATTTAAATCATGCTTATCCCAACTTTCGATCAAATGAAAGAAAACATAAAAATGGGCAGTAACTTGTTCCAGAAATTGACAATTACAGAATCAAAACAGCACAACTGTTAAAGCAACTTCGGGGGGAAAAAATAGTTTGCGATTTCCTAACTCTCCCTCATACCGCCCACCCCGATGGTCTGAACCACGCTGATACCCACACGTACGTCTAGTTCCCGAGCCACACAAAAGAACTGGCGGAAACTTATGAGCAACAGCTGCATCTGGGTACAAAACACGCATCCCAAATCTTGGGAGAACGAGCAGGGCCTGGGAAAACGGTCTACAGCATTATTTCCCAGCGGGGCGGGAAGACGACAGCTCGCAAACCGCGGAGCCGCCGCTGGGCTCGCAAGACTTCTTAGACTCCGCCCTTCCCAAACTTCGCGAAGAACCGCCTCCGTCCCGTTTCTTCGCCCGGCCTGCTTCTCCAACCTCACTTCCCTTCCCAAAAGCTCCTCCTTCCCTACACGATCCGATTTTCTGGGCTCCTCGGTTTGCACCCGCTTGGCGGGACCCTTCCGGCTCCAAAAACATCCCTTTCTC